TATTGGAAATAGATCAATTGAAAAATTTAATTTAAGGAATTCTTATGTTATTGTAGGTTTCATCTGAATCTTGTTTAAATGTAATAATATATTTATTAAATTCTTGTTTTTTTTTCATAATTATGTTTTTTTGTCAATATAGAATTAATAAACTTTACACTGAAAAACCATCACTATATAAGTTGTTTTCTCATCACTAATTCTATTTAATTAAAAGCAATCTATTTATTATTATAAAAGTAATTGAAAATTATATTACTCATTTCTTAAACACTTTTTTTTTCATCCTTATTTAACAACTTTCCAATTTATATCTTCATGATTATTACAAAGTAGTATCATTTTATAAACATTTAATTACTTAATTAATTACTCAATTAGTAGAAAAATGTTAAATAATTCAAAGTAGAATAAAAATGTTTGTTAATTAAAAAAAATCTTACAATTTAATTTGTTTCATTTATAAAATTCGTTTCAATTTAAATGCAAAATATTTGAAAAAAATAAAAATTTTATTTGAAAAAAATTTGTGTACTTTTCAGCTGAATCTTGTTTAAATCTAATAAGGTTAATATGTCCAAATATTTACTAAATTTCTAAAATATTCCAAGTTGAATTTCCTTAATTTTATTTATTTTGATCAAATATTTACTAATTTATTCTTTTTTCTAACATATTTGGAGTTTTTAACATTAATCAAATATGAAGAAATTCTATTTTCAATTTCCTGAATATTTTTTCACTGCAACAAAATAGAAAATAAACTTTTTGTTTCTTCATAATTTTTTGTATTTTGAGAATTTCTGTTTCATTTCTTTAATATTTTCCATAATTGTATCAAATTTGTCAAGAAATATTTATTTTCAACCAAAATATTGTTTTGTGATTCAAATCCTGAAAGTTCTTGAAATTAATGTTAAATAATGAAAAAAAAAATATTTTCAATACATATCAAATCCATGAATTTATTAAGTTACAATTATTTTCTACTTATTTGATCCGATTTAGAATGCATACCTGAAGCAATTGCTCCGCTTATAATATTAGAAACGACGTTCCATTTAACAAAACAGTCGTATTTTTCGTTTCGTTCGACCGTCATATTAGAAATGATCGTTTTGAAAGTAAATCTCAATGTATAAGTTAAGTTCTTGTCCAGGATAAAAAACGCTGAAGGGAAGCGCGCGCGTTTGAACTACTTTCTTCTCCTCATGCAAAAAAACCTCTTTCACCTATACTAAACAAGAAACAACAAAACTTGTAGCACATAATTACCTGAATTTCACTCAATTTCAGAAGCGAGAAGCAGTAAAATCAAGAAATTCGTCGTTCCATTCATCGTCCTTCTGATCATCAAGAAATCTATAGAAATCCCTATAGTTTTGGCTCTTTTATCTCTGGTTGCGTTCAAAGGATTGGGTGTTGGTTTGATCTCTTTGGTGTTGTCCGGAGCGACGGCCTTGAAGAGTCTTCTGGAGCACCACAGCACCTCCAAAGTGAGCTACGAAGTCGTGCCTCAGCTGAGCAGCTCGCACTGGAGCAGATCTGGATCGGTCGATTACCCCAATTTCATGGGAGGTTACCACACCATCTCTCAGTACTAATTACAGAGAAGAACTATTTTTTTTCTCTTAATTGATATTTATTCTCACTAATTAATTTATTTATTTTGTTTTTTATACATTTGTTCAAGTTTTTTTTGTTATATTTATTAAAAATGTATTATTTATTGTAAATAAATTTGTTTATTGTTTATTTCTTGCTTTATTTTTTGTCCATTTTATTTCCATTCACATCTAAAAACCTATAAATAATCTTGTAATTTATCAAATTCTGAAATTTTGGTAGAAATTTCTAAATATTTCAATTATTTATTCAAATTATGAATGAAACTCAAATTATTTCTTTTTGAATGATTTTTTGTATAAAATTATATTTCTTTACAGTTTTTTACAGTTATTTCTTCCATGAATTTCATAAATGAAAGTTGCATTTTTTCTTGTTAATTTTTCTTTATTAATTGTTTTGAAAATTGAATTTCTTATAAACTTAACAATAAAACTCAATTTTAAATTAATAAAGACAATTAATCAAAATAATCCAAATTCTGAAATTTTAGTAGAAATTTCTAAATATTTCAATTATTTATTAAAATTATGAATTAAACTCAAATTATTTCTTTTTGAATGAATTTTTTTACGAAATTATATTATCAAAAATAATGAAAAAAATCATTGATAAAAACCTTTAAATTAATAAAAATATAAAAAAATTTCAAATAAAATACATTATTTCTTTTATAAATTAATTTCAAAAATTTATTTAAAAAAAAATGTAGCAAAATTATTTATTACCATTAGAATCCCAAAATTTCTCTACTATTTTTAAACATATATAATTTTCTTAATAAATTTCAATTTTTTTTTACTGATTCATTTGCAGAAATTTTTATATTTTTTTTATATAATTTATTCAAAATTAAGTAAAAATTAATTTATAATTAATTAAAACTTTATTTTCTCTAATTTATTGAATATTTATGCTATTTTTTATGAAACAGAATAAAAATTGTTAATTTTTTATAAAGTTTTTGGAAACATTCAAAGCAAGTAGATTCGCCTCAAAGGTAATACACCAATATTTTTGTACTCATTATTAACTTTTCTTTAATTTTCACCTTTAAACACATTCTCTTATTAAAAGCGAGGCGGAAGATTTATCGAAGTGTGTCTAATGCGAAATAATGCAGGCAAATTAAAAATCCTCACTAATTGCTAATTTGCACTGCACAAATAATTGCGAATTAAATAAGGTTGGAGCAAGCAACAAAGCTGCAACGGTTTTGAGTTATTCTCTTTATTATTATTTCGAATCCAGTTCAGAGCGTTCAATTAACGTAATCTGAAACCACACTTAATAATGAGTGCAGAAGAGTTTATCAACCTATGATATGCATATCAAACAACAAAAAAAAAAACATGACTTTTATTAATTATTAATTAAGAATTCGATGTAGAGAATTTAAGAAGAAAAAAAAACATATTTTCTAAAAGAAATAAATAAAACAATTTGTGTTTAAAGAATGGACGTGGATGGATGAAAGAAGAAACTGGACTTCGGTGAAAATAATAATAATCTGTTTTTAATATGTTACAGTTAAGTCTAATATCCTTTCGAAACTCCGGTCCACAAGTTTTTTTTCTTTCTTCATCATTCTTTTATACTCTCTTTCTTTTTCTTTAATTCTTCACTTCTTCGCTTCTAATTTCTATTTATTTGTCGGTGTCAGAATCGATGTTCGTAAATTATAATAATTTATCAGCAGGAAATGAATCTAATTAATTTCTTGTACAGTTTTTTTTACAGATATTTCTTCCATCAATTTCACAAATAAAAGTTGCATTTTTTTTGTTATTTTTTTTTTATTAATTATCTTGAAAATGTAATTTCTTATAAACTTAACATTAAAACTCAATTTCAAATTAATAAAGACAATTAGAAAATCAAAATAATCCATGCAAAAAATATTATTTTTGTCTGTATAATTTTTTATTATTTATTTACAATTTGTTTATAGATTTACTTAAATAAAGATGAAAACTAATTTAAAATAATCATAAATCAAATTTCTACTACTTTTAGAATTACTTTTTTTTATAAATAAATGATTTTTATTTAAAATAATTAAAATTTTCTAAATGTTCAAAAAAAAATTACAATTTGTAATTGATAAATTATTGCGCAAAAAATATCATATTAAGGTTATATTTTGGTGATTTCTAATTGATCTCCAATTAGAGAGAAACGTTTCCAATTGGATTTATAAAAAAAGGCAAGTTTCTCAAGTAAATTAAAAAAATAAAAAAGTGTACTTATATTTAGTTTAAGTTTATAAAATGAGAGAGAAAATAGTTAATAACGAAATTGTCTGTTTATTTTTGTTGTTTTTTAATGAATAATTATGAAGTCATTAATGTTTAAATAAAAAGTCTATTAGTTTTGAGTAAATAAGTACATTAGTTTTTAAATGCTGAGAACTATGTTTAAGTGTTAATTTGCAGAAATAAACTTTCTAGTCTATCTTGTATGGAATCATTACTTTTGGCTTATAATTAAAGTAATTAGTTCATTCTTACCTGTAAATTTGACAATTATTTCCTAAATTTATTGGATGAAAAAGTAATAATTAAATCTTGTTGACTACTTACTTCTGTTTAAATTTGGAAGAGAGGACAATGTGTAGACGTTGTTGAAGACGAATTGTGGTCATCTGAATGAAACTTAGTTGTAAATTGTGGTTTGGTATTATTTTGGGAGGTAAATAACGCAGGAAATGGAAAAGTAAAACGAAAAAAACATCTAATAGCGGAAGAAACAAAGAGTTGTTATTAAAATTTTCATAAGTAATAAAATCAAAAAAGAGTTAAAAAAATTAATAGGAGAAATGTGGAGCATCTAACCTCGATAATATGAAGCTGCGCCATACTTTCGTGCTCTTTTTACGACTCAGGAAAAAAATAAGATGCGACCGCTTCTGCTGCTGGATGATGATGATGATGTTGTTGAGGATGATGGTGATGGGTGGAGTCGCGCGTATGCAAAAAGTGAATGTAGAAACTGTACCGAGTGCCGTCTAATGTTAGCTTCCCCCGGAGCGAGGTGCGAATAACGTAACAGTTATTGAAAAATGAACTGGTAACAAACAAAAAGAACTACTACAACGAAAAAAAAGAAGTAGTGTGGAAGAGGTGGGCAACGCTCAGATAGTTATGGTCCTTATGCTTAGTGAGCTTAGGTGCAAATCCGGGCGAAACACTCCTGCACTATTACCATTACTTCTTGCTCCACTAAATCCATCTGATGTGTGCGTGCGTTTTGGAAATGGTTCTTCTCAGATGCATCGGATGCGGTATAAATAGTGGAGGAGAATCTTGGAATGGCATCAGTCGATCAAACAGCATCAACCAAGCAAAATGCATCATCAGCAACAACAAAGATTCGCAACCGTTGCGTTCGTGGTGACCGCGGTGGTCCTTGGTCTCTCGTTGGTTTCCGCCGAGGAAACAACAACCAAAAGTGATCGTAGTGAAACGAAGAGGGCCTTCGCAAGGGACTGTGCCAGCACCTATTCCACAACCTGCCTCAAATTGGATATCGTGTCTTGGATTGACAAGCTGAACGAGAACGACGATTACAGTGTGATCCCAGGAGTCTCCGTGGTCAGGGAGAATGGTAGTGCTAGAGCCAATACAGCCGATATGGTCGCCGAATTGGCGAGGGACTTCCCCAACGATCCAGATGCCCGTCTCGACGCTTACCTCATGAACAAAGTCACCGGATACCTGAACAGCCATTCCATCAAGCTGAACCTCTTCGACACCACTTCAGCTGTGTCCGCTCGTAAGGGATCCGGTGGATTGGGAGGCGGCGGTGGCGGCGGAAAGAAGGGAGGCATGGGCGGTATGCTTCTGGCTGCTGGTGCTATGATGAAGGGTACTTTGATGGCTTTGGCTCTTGGCGCTTTGGCTGCCCTTGCCGGTAAAGCCTTGATGACCGGTCTCATCTCGCTGATGCTCTCCGCCATCATCGGATTGAAGTCTTTGGCTAGCGGTGGACACAAGCAGACCACCTACGAGATCGTCTCCAAACCCATCTACTCGCATTCCAATACCCATTCCTCCTCCCACGAGGAGCACGGAGGTGGCGGCGGCGGCGGACACGGATACTCCGGATACGGAAGGAGCTTCGACATGCCTTTACCACTCGGATTGCAACCGGGATACCAACCCTAGAGTGATCATTCAAACACCAAATATTTATTGATTATTTCATTTTTGTTTTTTCATTTATTTATTGTGTCTCACTTTGCTCTTTTATGCTAATGATATTTATATCGAATAAATTATTTATTTATTTCATTTAAAATCTTGACTCATTATTTCACCACCTAATTTACAGCACAAGATAAAATGAACACATCCTGATATATTTATACCCTAAAAATCTATCATCCAAAATCTTGATTCATTAGTTCTCCACCTAAGTTACAATAGAAGCTATAATGAATATATCCTGATGCATATACACCCTAAAAAATTTATCATTGAAAACCTTGACTCAATATTTCACCACCTAAGAAGTTACATCAGAAGATACAATGAACACATACTGATATATTTATACCCTAAAAATCTATCATCCAAAATCTTGATTCATTAGTTCTCCACAGTTACGATAGAATGAATACATCCTGATACATATATACCCTAAAAAATCTATCATCAAAAACCTTGACTCAATATTTCAACAACCTAAGTAATAATATAAGATGCAATGAACACATCTGATATATTTATACCCTAAAAATCTTTCATCCAAAATTGATTGATTCATTAGTTCACCACCTAAGTTACAACAGAAGCTATAATAAATACATCCTGATCCTAAAATCCCTAAAAAAGCTATCATCCAAAATCTTGACTCAATATTTCAACAACCTAAGTAACAGCCTGAATCATCATAATCAAAACCTGATACATACATACCCTAAAATAATTTCATCTGTAATCTTGACTAGTAATTTTACCACCTATAAAACTATAGAAGTCATTATGATTACATTACTGATACTTATAGATTCTTATCAAATCTTGACACATTATTTTTACCACCTAAGAAAAAAAAAAAGGATCTAGACGCATTTATACATTATATATACAAATTTACTACCATTTTTTACCTGTATACATACTATAACTGTTAAATCTGAAAACTTATTCCATTAATCCAATCCTATTAATCATTAAGTAAAATATGGACATTTTTCAGTATATTCACTTGTAATTAAGTAATAATCTGTAAATATAATTAATTAATTAAATAAAAATAATATCTTTTCTTCACTTTTACAGTAAAGAAATAAAATGTAATTATTTTAATGGATTTTATTACAATTTTATCACTAACTAATATGTTCATAAAGTTCTATAATTTATTAAAAAGTAAATAATTTCTTTTGATTTCTCCATCAAACGTAATTAAAACTGTTCACTGAACGTAAACTCTTCCACCGATAATTTATTTATCGTCTTAGATAGTTATTAAAAAAATATGGAGCACACAGCTCAACTAGTTCAAATCGTCAGGTGAAAAGTGAGATCGGCCTTCCTTCCTCCTCCTCATCCCAATCTCTGTTCATTCCTTGTACAATTGTTTGTTTTTCCTTTTACAAAATGCCTACTGAACTAGTTAATAATGAATTTGTTAGGAAACAACAACGTTTCCAACAATTTGTACCCAATTTGTGCAAACAAAATGATACAGCAACGTGTTAATCAGTTTAAAAAGTAAAACCAAATATTGTGTCTTTCCGTTCACACGCGCCGCAACTTTCTCTCGTCGTTTAAAGAAAGAAAGAAAAAAAATGTAGAACGCCCACACAAGAAAAACCATTAAGTTGTAAAAAAAGTAAAATGGACAAGGAACAAGCAGTAATATAGAAACTGGTTTAAAAAGTTTACAGTTTTATTTCAGAATCAAGAAAGTTAAGAATTTCTAACAGAAAAAGTTTATTGTAAATTTTGCTTCAAATTTGTGATTTTTTTTTTATAAGTTTCAAGATTTTAATAAACTTGAAGAATTTCATCTAAATTAAAAAAAAGAAATAATAATAAATTAAGTAAATTTTGTCTACAAATTGATAACATTAATTTATTTAATTCGATGTGAAGTAAAGAATTTGTCTTTGAAAGTTTAGTTAAATTTGTTATTCAAACAAGGAATGTACAATTACTGTTAATAAACGTTACATTCCTCTTCCAAGTTCAAGTTTATTGCTGCTACGACATCTCGTAATAAAGCATGAAACTATTCCATTCATAAAGCAGAGATCATTCAACTTTCTAGGACGTCTCAAGTTCAAGTCTGTTATTATACAAGTCGTATTGCTCGGCTGCTTCGCTGCTTGCCTGACGCAACTGTAGAGTTGCGAAGGACATCTACCAACAGCGACGGGGATTCCCAAGTTCAAGTTCACGTAAACATTGACATTCTTATAGACGACATCTGTGTGTAATTTCTGGTATCAGCGCTAATTGAACCAATTATGAAACATGCAAATGATAACATTTATATGCGGTAATTTTAAACGTACCATTACCCTACTTTTTTAGATGAAAAAAAGGTTAATCTCTTATGTAAATTACCTTGAATTACATAAATCTTTTGAGAGAAATAAGAAAAAAAACACGCTTTTCGTTTCAAAACTTGTTTTGCATAATATTTAATATAATTTTATAGATAAAAATGTTCTTTGATAATTTCTTCAAAAAAAATTAATTGAAAACTAATGTTTTGTGGAAATATATATAAAAATTGATTAGAAAAAGGTTTTTTTACTTGATTTGTGTGAAAAATCTAAGATTTTACTTAAATTTGATGAAAATAATAACTTTTTAGTTATGAAATTTTTTGAAGATTTTTTGATAGCAAAATTTGTAGTAAAAAAATGTAATAACTAATGAAGCTAAAGCAATTATTGAATCATCAATAGTTTCTTAACCAAATACAAGTTAGTTCATGAAAATTTGCAGATTTGTTTAAAAGATACACGTATAAATGTCGTTTGTTGCATGGAGACAACAACGGTCACGTAGACAACGAACCCAAATAATAATAAAAATTGTGATTTTTAGTTTTTTTTTTCAAATTTTCCAATCAAATTCCATGGTTTATATCTCTATAATCATTATATTGAAATAAAATTACTACTAAATAACAGTTAGGTAATTTTTTCTTAAAAAATTATCGATGTTTTTTCAAGTTTTGGTTGATTTAATCAAATTTTTATTAATATTATTATTGTAGATCATTACTTTAGAATTGAAAATGAATACTCTATAGAAATTTTAACACAAAAAAATATCTTTTCAATTATGAAATTTTTTGAAAATTGTTTTGATAGCAAAATTTCTAGTAAAAAAAATGTAATAATTAATTAATCTAAAGCAATTATTGAATGATCAATAGTTTCTTAATGAAATACAATTTAGTTCATAAAAATTTGCAGCTTTGTTTAAAAGATACACGTGAAAATAGAGTTTGTTGCATGGAGACACAACGTCATGTAGACGACGAACCCAAAAAATAAAAATTGTAATTTTCAGTTTTTTTCAAGTTTTCCAATCAAATTCCATGGTTTATATTTCTATAATCATTGTATTTAAATAAAATATCTACTAAGTAATAATTTAATGCCTTTTTTCTTAAAAAATATCAGTTTTTTCAAGTTTTTTTTTTTCATTAAAATGTTGATGATTGATTTAATCAATTTATTTATAACATTATTATACATAATTTCTTTATAGTTGAAAATCAAGACTGTATACAAATTTTAACACAAAAATTATCTTTTCTATTATGAAATTTTTTGAAGATTTTTTTGATAGCAAAATTTCTTGTAAAAAAATATAATAACTAATTAACCAAAAGTAGTTATTGAAACATCAATAGTTTCTTAATAAAATACAATTTAGTTCATGAAAATTTGCAGATTTCTTTAAAAGATACACGTAAAAATAGCGCTTGTTGATGTTCATGTAGACGACGAACCCAAAAAAATGTAATTGTAATTTTCAGTTTTTTTTTTTCAAATTTTCCATTGAAATTATATGAATTATTATCTTTATATTGAAATAAAATATCTACTAAGTAATAGCTTAATGACTTTTTTCTTAAAAATTTATCAAATTTTCAAGTATTTTTGATTATTTTCCCAACAAATAATCTTTATAATTTACTAAAAAATGCTAATAAAAAAAAAACCTAAAATATTAACAACAAATCTTGTTTTACTATTAAAACTAGTTGTTTTAAGCAAATTGTTTCACCTTTATTAAAATTACGTAATTTATATGTGTTTTATTACATCGAATTTATATATTTACAGCTACGTTTACGTCCATATAAGTCATTTATAAAAGTGGATGAAGAACAGTCAAAAAATAATAATCTAAAGAAATGTGTGTGTATTTATAGTTGTAATATTAAATTGAATTAAATACGAGTTGTAACGGTGATGAGAAACATAAAACTATTTTAATTCGGTTTACATCCTAATTAATGAATATAACAGGAAATATTCAACGTTAGTCCATAAAGTTTAGTTTTATAATTATTTTTATTCAGTAAAAAATTTGTATTTATTTTATATTGATTTCTTTAACAAAGAAATACAACGTGTTTATTTTTTTTTAATAATTTAGTTTAAAAATGAAGTAAATTAAATAATTTTTACCAACATTTATAGACTAAAGAAAAAAATAAATTAAAATTACAAGAAATTTTCAAAATATTGTTTTTTTTTTATAAATCAGTGTTAAATTATGTTTATTTGTGATAATTTACAATAATCCAATTAATATTTTTGTCTACATTCAAACTATACTTAATTTTAGTAAAAGCATTTTTTTTATATAAAATTATTTTATTTTTTTAATTTGCATTTATTTACAGCTATTTTTTCTTATACGTTTTAAACATCATTGAAAGTATCTTAAAGAGAAAGTTTTTTTTATTTACTAAATAATTTAATTTATTTAAATCTAAATTAAAAATTATTTAAAAAAGTGGATTTTGAAGCCAATGAATTTTTTGTAATCAAAACATCATTTTTTTTTTCATTAAAACTTACAAATCGACTATATTTGGATACAATTAGGAATATTTATCTCATTTACAAATGTTTAAGTGATCAATTTTGTAACTTACATAAATCAGTAAAAAAAATAACATA